TTGTTCGAAGCCCAGCTTCCCGAACATCGCTGCAAGAGGCTGGACGGACGCATGCGGCGCCCGTGCCGTTTGCTGCATCCATTTGACGTGGCGAATCCTCAACTCCACGAAGAGTGGAGCCACCTGCAGTCGATGTAGAACGTGCACATTGGGAAGATGGCGAACGTGATCCTCATGATATGACGCCGTGCCCAGTAACAATATTCTTCCATATCTGATAACCCGGGACTCGATGTCGGAAAGGTTGCTTTTCGGAAGGGTTGTATATTTTCTCGCCCAAATCTCGGGTCCACTGAGCGCACTGTTGATGACCTGACAATTGAATAGATTGAGCCGCTGTTTCAAAGGTGCATCCGGTGTCCAAAATCTTCTTCATTGGGCCCAGTTTCTTTCAATTGCAATAATCCGCTGCTCGATCTCTGCTGTCATAGTGAATGTGTTGGTAAGACGTGGGTCCAGATACCTTGCCACTGTAGCTGCCTTGCCCTGCAATAAGACCCCACTGTTGATATGTATCGCGTCGCTATAGCTGCCTTTGCTCACTCCGTAGTATACGTTGGCCTGCTTGCTGATGTTTTGGTGCGTGCCGATGCTATTTAGCCCCGTGTCGATCATCTGGTTCTGCTTAGTACCTGAACACCACGCTGTAGCTGTGTTGGGTGCTTGGAATGTGTCGGCCAAGTCATCTACGAAGCCCGTGTTTTTTATGTGTGTTTCGTCTTTGGAAATGGGCGGCGCAACTGTCATCTTGTAAACAAGGTCATCCACTAAATTGTCATCGTGAGCCTTCTCGATGGTTCTCGCATACGTAGCTACAACAACGCCCACTGCCCAGGTGTCTCCAGGCAAACACCCGCTGCCCAGTCGAAAAACCTTTCTGGTGCGTCATGAAAGGTAAAAGTCGCGCGTTCAATACGTTCGCGGGCAAGTGCTGCATCTTCAAGGCCGAACCAGTTCAGAAACTGTTTGGGGAATATCTGGCTGCTCAATGGAGTAAAAAAAAGCGTTGGCTGCATCATGAATCTTGTAATATGACTAAAGCCTCCTTCGAGTAGACGCCAACTTGCGATTTGCTGAACGAGTACTGCCTTTTCCCTCCGTCGCTGTCTAAGTCCTCCGTGCATCCACTTATGTTGTTCCCTATGGTCTGACTCAAGACGGAGGTGCTTGAAAAAAACGTGACCGAATTTGCACATTGCCATGGTGATTCTCTCCTTGCCTGTTGTTCTGATCCTGGCTGTATTCGCACTGCGCCACCCTTTAGGCACCGTATCTGTGAGGCGGACCAGCAGCAAGAGCTTGAACAAGGTCAGGTTGAAGTTGGGGGTGCGTATACGAGTGTTGTCTTTCTGAAGCCCCACTCCCTGCTTGCTCTCGCCAGTCAACATCTTGTTGATACTGCCTGGCCTCTGCGTCATCCTGAAACATTCAGCTGGTGCGCTGTGCGATGGCCATGCTCTCCACAATCGAATCGATCCAATCGCTGATTGTGGACTTCTTAGATCCTCCCGTGCCATTGTATACATTTCCTCAGAAGGAGCTTGTCGGTGTCTGTCGGGTGGCGGTAGGTCTTCGCTCGCAAGTTCAGTAGATCTGCATCCTCCTTCCGGGCCTGGCTTTGCCATCTTGTCGATCCAATGATGAACGTTTGCCGTGGACGTGGCTGCTCTGTACACTCTTCCCCTGGGTCTTCTTCCACCACCAGCTATGAGCCGAGCGATGCGATGCATAGAATACCAATACTTCGTGTGTGCTGCTTCCCTGAAGGCTTCGCATCGCTGTTCTAGCAGCTCATCCAGATACTTCTTTTGGGTCTTCTTTACTTGTCGGGATATACGTGTTAATTCACTAGTGTTACGAAAATATCATCCTCATCGTCGGGTCCCGCTCGCCCAGGTGACTCTTTAGTTCACGTCGCCTTCGGAGAAGTCCAGCTTGTCGCTGGAGTCGTTCTTGGTGATCGCCTGTCTAGTAAGGATTGGTGTTGAACGTTCCGACTGCGCTGGAGTTCAAAGCTTCAATCATCAATTCATATATGCGCTTCAAATACGTGTTCTCGTAGGCCGTGTTGATGTCATTGCCTGCTTGGCTCAGCTTGTTCTCAACGTTCTCGATGTATTCTCGTTGTAGCCAGCCCCTTTGTAGTGCTGCCGACATAGCTTCGCGACGGATCTTCTGACGTATGTTCGGCTCGGAACGTGGGGCTGCTGGCACTTTAAAACTTGAATTGAATTTGTATATGATCACCTTTCCCCACCGAGTTGTGTAATTGTAGTCGCCTCGCACTGTAGTGTAACATTGTGCTCGTCTGCTCGCCAGGTAGATGCAGTGGGGCACATATATAATCGATTTGAATTGACTCGCCTCGGGCTCCATGCCATGTGGTGCCGATGTCGTAGTGCGTATTGACCGCCTGCATGTCCCATGCTTGCAGATAAGATGGTGCGCATTTTGCCTGTAGGTGGAAACGAGCGCGAAACGGAACATGATGTCCTATGTGCGGGTGATCTGGCTTGAGCGTATTATTCAGGTCTGTGAAGATACATGGTGAGTATTTGTGCCCCATCTGTGTAATCACATGGTTGATCCAAGAAAAATCCTTTCAACAGTTTAAACAGGTTTTTTTCTCTGAACATGAACTCGGCTTGGGCGGGAAATATGCTGCGATAAATCGAAATCGTGCACTGCCTCGCTCGACATTGATAGATCCAACCCTTCCCCACAAATTCTTGGGTACTTCATATATGTGTCGAATGTGTGTCCGTCGAACCTGCGATTTCTTTAGCATGATACTGACCCCACACGCGTTAGTAATGTCCGAACCTTTTTCCACCCCCTGTGTATGGCAGAGTGGTTGGGGAGGTCGGTTATAAGCTCGTTCTGTGTGCCATGCGACTTGATCTTTGTGCCTGTGATGCCGACGATGTCCTAAGCTTCGAGCTTATAGCTGATGTCCACCTGTCTGTCATAGTGAAGATGGAGTAGATTCCAGTGCACAACTCGCCATGTCCGTTCTTCCATTTAAGCGCTGGCCGTCCGTAGCTGTGCCTGGCTGTCGCTGCCAGATGCCATCAACGGGTATGTTCTGGGTGTGTGCAGGTGGGAGACACACGCGAAAAAGAAACGCTGCGTGTCACGTTTCGAGCCCACCTGACGACGACGACGACGACCGACGACCAGCGACCGACGACCGACGACCCACAACCGACCGACGGCCGACGACGACCAACGACGACGACCGACGACGACGACGACCTACGAGATGACCGACGACCGACGACTGACGACCGGCCGACGACCGACGACGACCGACGACTGACCCACGACCGACGACGACCGACGACCGACGACAATGACGTCAGCGACGACGAGGACTGACGACCTACCGACCGGCGACTGACGACGACGACGACAGCGACGATGACCGACGACCGAACCACCGACGACCGACTGACCGACGACCGACGACCGACGACCGACAACCGACGACCGACGACGACGACGACGACGACGATTGACGACAGCGTCGACGACGACGACGACGACGATTGACGACAGCGTCGACGACGACGAGGGCGACGACGTCGACGACGACGACGACGACGAGGGCGACGACTGACGACGACGACGACGACGGCGGCGACGACGACGACGACGACGACCGACGACCGACGACCGACGACCGACGACCGACGGCTGACCGACGGCCCCGCTGGCAGGCCCCCGCGCCCTGGAGCAGCTGCCCGAGGGCAGGAGCTGGGGGCCCCTGGGCGGGGGGGAGGCGCGTGCGCCAGCCTCCGGGGGCCGGGGTCGCGGACCTCACCAGCGAGCGTCGAGGCGTTCGATTCCGTACGACTCCCAGGGCCCTTGACCTGACAGGCGTGCTGGCCGCGCTGCTGCGAGAAAAAATACGACGGCACGCGTCGAGGCGTTCCCTTGCCTTCGCCCCCTGGCGCAGTGCCCCCTCGGGCAGGTGGCCAAGCCGCAGCCTGGCCAATTTCCGATCCGGCCGGCCCGGCAGGCCCGGCCCGGCACCCCATCGCGTCAGCGTCCAGCGGCCTGGCCAGCTAAAGCGCCTACGTGTCTGCCCCCCCCACCAAGAGCGCGTTTCTTTGTTTTCGGCGATAATGGGCATGATAGGGAGGGGGGGGAGGCTTTTGGGCAAAGAGGAGCCGTCAGGGAGGGGTACACTTGCTCGTTCGCGGCCAGGCTGTGGGGATGTCTCAGGCGGTTCACTCGTTTGCCCCCCAGACCTCTCTCTTTGAGTGCCTCTTCCTCCAGCTTCCTTTCAGAGTATCCCTCCTCCTCCTCCTCGGCCCTCCTTCATGCACTTGTGCGCTTCTTTTGGGTCGTGCGTTGGCGCGTGTCCACTGGGACGCATTTGTCCGCTTCCTCTTGGTCGTGCTTCGTCGCGAACCCATGTGTACCCATACTCATACTCACTCAGTTCACCCATCTACTGGTCATCCAGTAACTGCAGTTAGCTAATTAATTCACAAAATTTGCTCATATTCAGATTCGCTCACTATACTACACTCAGTTTACCCGTGATCAAGGTTCACTCGCAGTCAGACTCATACACCCACACCCAATCACAATCAGGCTCGCTTGCTTCCGCAACCCACCACTCGCACTCACCATTCATCCGCCACCGTGCAGCTGGGCACGGAGGGGGCGTGTCCTCAGGTCCTTTTGCCCAATCCCCCGAACATCACTCCTCGAACTTCAGTGTTTCATGGGTCCGTACCCCGAATTCACAAATCTCCCAGGCGTGGCGCGTGCCCCCCTGGGGCTTCCTGCGGCCTGGCGCGCAACTTGTTCTTCTGGCCCAGGCGGGCCCCAGAACGGACCAAGAGGGCCGCGAGAGGCCCCGAAGACGGTACAAGAGGGCCTCGAACCGCCGAAGGATCGATCCAAGTCGCTCAAGATCTCCCCAGGAGGCCCAAGAGGTTTCCAGCACGCCCCAAGAGGCTTCCAACATGTCCCCTGAAGAGGTCCGTAGCCATTTTGCCTCGAACCATTTTGGCTCAAGGCTTTTTGGTGCAAGCGCACCTCTTGTGGGCTCCACTTCCCTTCGCGCACCCATCGCTCAACAGCAGCTATGGGCTGCGGCAACAGCAAGAAGGCGAGCGAGGCCCAGGTTGAGGAGACGAAGGCTGCCCCCGTAATGACCGAGGCGTCCGCTGAGGAGCGGGCTCTGGTGCAGCTCAAGACCATCTTCGACAGCATCGATGTAAACAAGGACGGGAATGTAAGCAAGGCAGAGTTGGTCGCAGCCTTGGAGAAGGATGCCAGCATCGGAGACCTCATCAAGGATGCAGGCCTGAACCAGGAGTACAACGCCATGGAGCAGCTGCAGACCAGCAAGGATGGCCACGTGACCTGGGAGGAGTTCCTGGCGAACCTGAAAGAGGCCGCGAAAAAGGAGGTGTTGGAGACAGGCGATGTCAAGGGCGTCGAGCTGGCCGCGGATGAGAAGGCCCTCCAGCAGCTCAGGAAGCTCTACGACGAGCTCGACCGCAACAAGGATGGAGCTGTGAGTCGCGAGGAGCTGACCGCGGGCATGGAGAAGGATGCCGACATCGGCCAGCTCGTCAAAGAGGCAGGCTTCAACCCCGACTATAATGCCCTGGAACAGCTCGACACGAACGAGGACGGCAAGATCACTTGGGACGAGTTCGAGTCTCACCTCCGCAAGGCGGCCAAGGAGGAGGTCAAAGAGCAGGGCGAGGTGGCCGCGGTTGCCAACATCGAGGAGGAGGAGAAGAAAATTGAGGCGGAGGCCGAGAGTAACGCCGTTGTCAAGCCGACGTCTTGGTGCGGATGCGCTTGAGAGGCTGTCGTCTCAGACTAATGAGGCCGCGGTGTCGGATTGCATGGGCAGTTCGATATCACGCGCAGTGTTAACGAACGCAGAGCATCGTTTCGGCAGCCGAGATTGCCGCTTGCATGTGGCATTTATATGCCATTACTTGATGACTTGGGTTCATATATCGTACGATGTTCCAGGATAGCTGAGTCTAGCCCTTTGAGAGTTGTGCATGTCGGGTGCCCCCCAGTCGTGCAATGGAACGGCTAGCACATCCAACACACTCTTGCCTCTTGCCACTTGTAAAGTTTGATTGACTTTCGCCACAGATGCACAAAACAACAACAATATGCTCCCACAAAAGGGCCCCAAGAGACCACCGTCCTTAGTATCGTTGGGTGTTTGTAGGTGGTTGGCGTTCTCGCCTTTTCGGCGTTCCGACGCCCCAAGGCAGCCCTGGAGGCCCCCAATATCGCCACAAGACGGCCCAAGAGGCCTCCAAGAGGCCCCCAAAACGGCACAAGCGGGCCCCAAGACGGCCCCCAAAGACGGCCCAAGAGGCGCACACGGCCCAAGGGGCTTCAAAGACGGTTCCAAGAGGGGGCCCAGATGGGGGACCTTGACGGACATTTCGAGCCTTCGGCCCTGAGAGCCCCCAGGAGGCTCCAAGAGCCCCCCCCTCCCAACATTCCACCAAGAGGTCCCCTAGAGGCCCCAAGAGGCCCCCAAGAGGCCCAACAATTCCCCCCCAAGGGAATTCCGCGCGTGAACGGCTGCCAGGTCCTTATGCTGCAGGTGATGCTTATGGGCGGTCCACTGCTGGTGCTTGTAAAGAGTCTCGTAATCGTCTGCCGCCTGCGCTTCACAACATCGTCTCTGCCGTGCCGCTCGGACTTTAGGTCCGCCCAGCCCTCCACTCGGCAGCGAAGCTGGCGTATCTGCGCCGCCAGACAGTTGTAAGTAGGCCTTGCCGACCATCAGTGACGCGAGGTAACAAGCGAGTAGTGGGAAACTCGGGGTCTCGTATCCAGCCCCGCGGTGCAAGCAAGTCCCACGAAGTGCACGAGCTCATGGTGCGAGAAGGCAAGCTGGGCCGGCCCGAGCCAGAGGCTGCGAACCCGAGAGGGAAGCACGCGTGGAGCCAACACAGTACACGGGGGAACGGGCGTCCGAGCGATGGCAGGGTGGGCAGCGCTGCGCTCGAGGTGGGCAGCGCGCGCCGCCCGTGCTGCGACGGGCGCGGCCAGGGCCAGCCCCGCGGGCCGCGGGCCGCCGGCCGCGGCGCGGAGGGGGCCACCGGTGGCCCTCTCCTCGACCTCGTGCTCGACGGTTTCCTCCTCGAGCTCCTTCGCCCTCCTCCTCCTCCTCTGGCAGTCTGGTCAGTGATCCTTCCTTCCCCCCTCCTCCTCCTTCGCCTCCTCCTCCTCCTCCTCCTCCTCCTCCTCCTCCTCCTACCCCTTCTCCTCCTCCTCCTCCTCCTCCTTCGTCCTCCTCCTTACCCTCACCTTGTATTCCTTCTTCTCCTCCTCCTTCTCCTCCTCCCCCTCCTCCTCCTCCTCCTCCTCCTCCTCCTCCTCCTCTAGTCGTCCAGTTTCTGCTCTCAGTCGTCGTCGTCGTCGTCGCCGTCGTCGTCGGTCGTCGTCGGTCGTCGTCGTCGTCGTCGTCGTCGTCCTCTCTCTCTCTCTCTCTCTCTCTCTCTCTTTCTCCCTCTCTATATCTATATACATGGGTATGTGTATATATCTATATATGTATCATCCCTTTCTCCCGCTCTCTTTCTTTACAGTTCCTCAACGACTACACATTGTGACTGCTCTCCTCTCTCCCTGACTCTGCCTTGAAGATGCCCCGTCTCCGCGCATCATCAACAAATTACAGAGGATTGAACAACAGTGATTTTCTGTTGTCTTATTCCCCATCTCCTAAGGATGGGGTTATTGTTATTACTTTGGCCGCGCAGAGAACGAGAGAACACCTCCCACCCTCAGGTCATCATTCTTTGACTCACATGTAGATTCACTCATATTCAGACTCACTCATACTCAGATGCATTCGCTCTTAGAATCCTGATACTCAGGTTTCTCATGCTCGGGATCACTCAGATGCAGACTCACTCACACTCCTGGTACTTCCGCGCTCAGACACCCACACACACGTCGTGAGGATGTCTCAGGCGAGGCGCTGGTCTCAGTACTCCCAAGGGGGGCGTCAGGAGGTATATCACGGGCCCGTTCGCGCCCGGATTGGGGGGATGTCTCAGGCGGTTTGCCTGCTTGGGTGCTCAACATCAACATCCTTCTCTTTCGGAGCAGTTTCCGAGGATGTCTCAGGCGAGGCGCAGGTTTCAGCACTTCCAAGGGGGGCGCCAGGGGGTATATCACGGGCCCGTTCGCGCCCAGATTGGGGAGATGTCTCAGGCGGTTTGCCTGCTTGGGTGCCCAATCGGTGTCCCCAAGATTCCTCTTCCCTTTGTCTGGGGCCACAACCAACATAATTCTGTTTTAAATTAAAACCATCGGCCATGTGCTGGCCAAAAAATCCCTGGGCGATTGCTCTTTGTGGGGCGATCGCGCGTGTGTATGTGTGTGTGCGCGTGTGTTGTCCAAATCTTAGACCCGCGATCACCTCGGGGCGTCGGCGTTTCCGTTTGTTTGTTCTCGGGTATTCACGCGCTCTTGGCTGACGCACCTGGACAAGCAGATGATCTTGGTGGCGGAAGGTGCCAGGCGTTTCCTCGACATGAGCCTGTGGGAGACACAAGAGGCTTTGGACAAGCTCAATGACATGTGTGAGTCCGACGAGAACAGAGAAGGCGCCATCAACGATCCACAGCTTTCCGCATCCCAGGACATCTTGGATCCAGACAAGGACAAACCTCGCGCCACCGTGCTTCAATACAGCTCTCTCATCGCCAGGGGAGTACAGGCAAACCTAGAAGGCCTGGCGCGAGTGCGGGTGGAGATGCACAGCCAGACGGACGCCGAGATACACCAGTCATACGTGGTGGCTACGACGGGAGGTTCCGGCAAACCTGATGATGAGCGAGACGACGGCCCTCAGACGCCTCGGGGGCCCGCCCCCGAGGCCCGAGGCCGAGGTGTTTCCGCCTGTGCGGGGATCTTTCGACGAGGAAGAGATGCGGGACATCTTGGGCTTCAAACATAAGCCCCGCCCGTCGCCATTCCTGAAAGATTTGCTGGAGCTCCCTTTCATGAGCGAGACGACAGTGGTGGATGAAAGCGATGAAAAGGGGTGGAAGAGTGCAGGGCGGGGGGGGGGGGGGCGCTTGACGAAGTTGTTGCGCGAAGCTCAGAGAAACTTCAGTGGCCGAGAAGATTTCGCTGAGGCGAGCTCAGGCAGAAGCGCTCGAGGTCAATGCGGAGGAAGACGGCGTGGAGAGTGGAGCGCAGCCCGCGCGCAGACGCAGGGGCAAACAGCCTCCGGCGTCCTGGTCCTTCGCCATGGACGGAGCCTGCCAGACACCGAGTGCTTTCATCCGGCATCTCATATTGCAGCTGCCACCGGCCCAGCAGCTAACTCGGCGATAGATGTTCTTCATGGTGATGTCCGCGGAAGCCTGCGACAAGGCGTGGGGCGAGGAACAGAGGTTGCCGCCCGAGCCGCGGGAGCCCGCGCACCTGCTCCTCCTTGGCGCTGGGGGCACGGGCAAGACACGCGCGGTGCAGAAGCTGGTGTTCAAGGCAGCGGAACACATCTGGCCCAACGAGACGCCCGAGTCTCCGTCGATGTTGGTGGTGGCCTCCTCTAACGCGCAGGCGAAGAACACCTTTGCCGCAGAGTGGAAGGCGAGGGCTCTGCACGACGCTGCAGGCACGCGCGCAGAGGATCGGATCAACGCGAATATGCGTCCGGGCGACAAGGCCAAGGCTCTGGAGGAGCGGTGGAGAAATGTGAGGGTGCTTGTCATCGAAGAGGTGAGCATGGCGTCCGCCGCCAACCACAACATGCTTGACTTTCGCGCCAGGTACGGGCGCATGAAATGCCGCGCGGTCACGAAAGGCAGCTGTGCGAAGAAAGGTTGCAGCTTTGGCAGGTTCCCCATCATTATCCTCCTGGGGGACTTCCTGCAGTTGACGCCAACGGCGCAGCTCAGCCTGGTGACAGATCCCAGAGCGAAGGATGCCAACGGCGACTACGTGCTCAAGGAGCCACCCACCATGGAAATTCAGAACGCGCTCGCAGTTCTCATGGAGCAGGTGATCCTCTTAACTCCTCTTAAATCAATAGGGTCACCTGCGTCATCGGGCTCCTGGGGGCCAAGCGCTTTGTGCCCGTCGATCCTCTTATCGAAATCTTGGCTTGCATGCGCCAGGGCAAGCGGATCCTGCGCCCTGTCTGGAGGGCGTTCGGGGCGACGTTTGCCAAGGACAGCCGCCCCGACGGTGACCCCGAGCTCGACGCGCGGCGCGCGCAGCAGAGCTTCCTCGATGGCCATGGCCTGACCATGCACTGGGAACCCTTCGCGCGTTGGATCACAAAGAGGGCGCGCCGCGACTCCCGCGTGCTCGAGGTGCCTCTTATCTTTCTGCAGGAAGCCGACGAGTGCGGGGCCACCCCTCCGCGGGACAAGGCCGCGCATTCCGGGGTGCTGAACGCGGCGAACATCTACCGCGCGGGTCGGGTTCACGGCGCGCCCCCCGCCCGCGCGGGAATGCGAGCCCGCTTCGCCAGCAAGTTCAACGGGGCACGCGGCCTCGCCCAGGAGCAGCGGGTCACGATCGTCGACTACGTTTTCCACCCCGACGACCAGATGGACTACGACAGCGCCCGCCCGGGCGAGATCTCCAGGCCGAAACATGCTCCAGCTGATATTTGGCTGGAGGTCAACGACTTCAAGCAGGCGCCCACTTGGGGCGACTTCATGGACTACGTGGACGACGACGAGAAGATCGCTCGCGGTTTGTTATGCGTGCCCCTGATGGAGAGCACCTTCACCTGGGGTGCGTCGTCCATGGCGCACACTGTGAAGCGCTGCGGCCTCATGCTGTCGCGCGCCCACTACCTGGCGACGACGGCCTTGCAGGGGCAGACGGTGCGCGGCGCCGCGGCCATCGACTGCGCGCGCCAGGGGCCCCGGGGACAGCGCGGCACTGATGGCGACGCAGCTGAAGCTTTATGTCATGTTCCCCCGCGCCACCCGAATGGCGGGCGCGTTGCTGGCGCGGCCGCCGCCTCGCCGGCTGCTGGAAAATGGGGTCCACCGAAGGCGGTGCAGGAAGCTCCCAAGCGCTTCCAACGCAACAAGAAACTAACAGTGGAGAGAACAGTTGAGCTCGCCGAGAAGTACGGGATGGCGCTGCCAGAGCACGAGGAATAGCCGCTTTAGTTCTCTCTGGCCCGATGCCAAG